TGGCGCCCAGTCGCCATCTTGAGAGTTTCATGTGTCAATTTCACTTCAAAATAAGGTATTCATGGAATAATTTCATTATCCCAAATTTCAGTTTTTTGAGTTGACCCGTTCAAAAAAACAAAGGGGGGGACATTGAAGAAATGCACTGTATACGTGTTTTTGTAGAGAATACTTCAAATAAGATGATTTGAATTGACAAAAATTGCTTAACCCAATTCTTCACAAAAAAAGTGAATGTTATTTCCGTTTAATTCAATGTTAACAATCAGAATAAATTGTTTTGGATGGATTTTTTCTTTTGTAGATATTTCAATTTTTTTCTTCGTGTTCATGAAATAGGCAAGAAGGTTTCTTTCTTCACTTCTTTGAACTTCGAGAAAAATAAAAAATACTAGTGTATTTTTTCATTCAGAATATTTTTGCAAGATTTCTACTTCACTTGAAAACTTTTCGTAAATCACTGAACTTTTAGGATACCTCAAAAATATTGGTAGCTGATAAAGAGTCATTAGCCGAAATCGATGTTCGAAGGCATGGAGAAATTTTTGAAGATATATTTAAGACTGTTTCGAATTGCACTCGTTCTACCTCATGGTAGTAGATTTCGTAGAATCCCGAAAGGATACTAAATATTTGTATAAACTATCTGGTTGGTTTCAAGGATGAAGTAATATAGCTATACGAGTTCTATGACATTCCTTATGGAATAACACTTGCAAATTTGGGCAGGTTCATTCTGGCGATTTTTGGACCACACAGAATGGAAGGGACAAAAATCCCCGTTGTTTGGGCCTTAGACTTCCAGAGCCCACTCTTTCACTTTTACCGTCATACAGTCGACCAATCAGAAAATACCGCGCTTACAGCGGGAAATTCAAATAAGTTGATGAACAAAGATACTTTTCTCTCAAAATTGCATGTATTTTCTCATGGAGCTGAACTTTTTGCAATTTTCATGACATCCGATCGGTTCCTTGTGGAACACCCAACTCGAGGTGGGTGTGTTTCGGAGAGTGGAAGTGGATGTAATCGATGCAGAGAAGGATGAAACGAGTATCGGAGAGATTCAAAGAGCGTGGTCCCCCTTGAGAATCAGCCTCACCTCTCGAGCTCCCTAGTGACTCCACCTCACCCCTCGGGCCCCCTTGTCACGTACCAGTCAGGTGGTTCTAGTAGTCATCGGTAGCTGAGTCAAATTAAATTAAAAAAACTCATCGATATGATAATCGAACCTAGGTCGTCGGCGTGGTAGACGTTGTCCTTATTTTGGTCAGTTGTTGTTTGAAAACAAATTGAATTTCAAAAACATCACTTGTTTTATATAAAAACTTATTCATCAACTGCCCAATAGTGTTTGATGATTCCATTTATCCTTCTGGTAAATAAATCGGCCAATACATAGTCGTATTTGATTTTAAAAATGAATAGAAATCCTTGTCAAAATTTACTTGTGAAGAAATATGTAGGACTATACCGACTCTACTTAATAACCTTCGTCTATGTCTGCTATTTGAGTGAGAACCATAGAAACAACAAAAACACCCGACTGTGAAGAAATCTATTGAAATTTGCAGAGATGCCTGATTGGTTTAATTTGAAAAAACAATCGAGCAATAGAACTGCTCTATTGAGAAAAATAATTTCTTTAAAACGTTATTTGAAACGTCAAGGTGGTAAAATATTGAAAATTCTCTCTGTTCTCAGAAGACAAATTGATTGTTTCCTATAGTACTACCATTCTTTCTCAGCTCTATGATAATTAAAACGCGATGAGAGCTAAGTGAAAGTTAGGTTATATCTCGAAGTCTCAGCAGTCGGTGCACCGTCAGGTCCAGTAAATCGCTGTTTAGTGGATCCATTATCGTCTTTATCGACGTTTAGTGGACCCGTACCTTGAACTTAAATTTCGAAGTTGGTTTCAATTGATGTCAAAAACACCACATTTCATTTTGTCATATGTTAACCAAAGCCTTTTTTTCCAAGCACTACAGGACAATCCTCAAGGCGCTCTCAGAGCGGTGCTCGTACAAAAGTAGCGATTCATCTGTCTAATTTGACAGTGGTTTTAAAAATTCTCAATCATCAAGTTTTTTTTTCAAATTAAGAAAATGACAAAAAAATTGGCTCATTTTCCAATTTTATACCTTTTCTCCAAATTTGAACGTTCTTCCGTTACCTCGAGTTTTTGCAATTTTTAAATTTTTCGAACGTTTTATTCCAAAGATTCTATCGATTCAAATTTTATAATTTTCATGAATGAGAAACTTCGATGTCATATCTTGCCCAAAAATATCGAAATTGGCCTGTTATCAGGAAAAAAAGTATGTCCAAAAATATCCAAATTGGCCTGTTACCAAAAAAAATATGCACCTCAAAAAATTTCCCTATGTTGTTGCAGTCTATTCAGTACTTATTTCATTTCATTGTGAAATGGATTCAGATTTTCAGGGTATAAACCCTGATATGTATAAAATAGAATGAAAAAAATTCCATCTTTCTCATTACAGTCGCATTTCTTTATCAACAGATTAGTATCCCGCTTGAAACATTTTTTTACCAAGAATTCAGCTGCGGAATATTTTGATTTATTCACGTATACATTCAACAGTCACACTGTTGAAGATAGTTTCAGAGCAAATGATAATTTTTCGCAATGTTTATTGAAGTAATTTCATGTATCTTATATGTAGTAGATTGGACAAGGTTACGGAATCATACGCGTATTCACAGTATAACGANTTTTTCCACAAATATATTCATTTTTTTCAAACCAGTAATTTTTTTAAATTCTGTCTATAGTTTTCTCATAAGCAAAGTGAACTACATCATCATGATTGACTTTTAGTATTTGCACCTACAGTTTTTCGGTACTATCTTCGACCATATAGCGTTACACGATAAATTTTATTTTCCCATAAGTCGTATTCTTCAAAAATGTTTTTATTATTCACTTCATCACCACTTAACAATATTTCTTTTATTTCTTTGATAGAAGCATCTTGATCTTGCGCCTCGCGTAGATAATGGTTAAGTTGAAAAACACCCACGGGTGACACTTCGCCACATTATCTTTGTCGAATACCTATTATTGTTATCTCTTTACATATGTGTTCAAAGATGAATGAAGACGATTTATTATTATTATTATAATCATTTTCGTGTATTTTGTTAACGTTTTCTATATTCTCTCTCATCTCAAAATTACGACTGAGTGCACTTTTCACGGTGTTGTAATCCGTGAAAATTGTGAACTCATTTCCAAGGAGGTAAAACCTATACTTTTCTAGGGTTTTCGCAATTGCAAGTAAAACGATATATTAACGACTCTTCTACTTCAAGTCACAAACGGTAATGAATCAATTCTACATTTTCTATCCTATAGCATAATGTAATCGGCACTGTCACAGTAATCCCAGTGACTACTGCTTAGATAATATGTAAGTCACGCTGCTCCGTCACTATTTCCATAGGCGGGTACTGCATATATTATTTATTTCAACCATTACATAATGCGTAAAAAATTTGAACCAAAATAACTTTGACCAAATTGACCACAAAACATCTCAACATTCATTGATCCATCTCAATAATCTTATGAAGAACTCGAACTGATCGTTCATCATGCCGTTCTTTCCATTCTATTGAAATTATAGTCGTCTCATTATAGACTTTGTGGTATTTCCATTAAATAGGGATTTATGTTAGCACAACACTCCCAAATGGTATTCTATATACATGTTATTTGTTTGCAAATGGTCCGTGCTTATACACTTTTTGTCTCAGATAATCACATAGAAAAAAGTCCATCGGAGATAAGTCTGGTGATCTAGATGGTCAATAATCTTCCCAATCTCGCCGTTCACTCTGTCCCTAAACATCTGACAGAGACACTGTTTCACTTCTACCGTTTGTTGGATTGATGCCTTGTCAACTATTTTTAGTGTAATAAACCACGCCACACCATACATTTGTCTTGAATGAATATTAGTTTTTTTCGCCGTGAAAGTAGCCTCGTCTGTCCATAAAATTATGTGGAAAATATTGTATCATTTTCACGCTAACCTCGAAAACAAAATGGAATTCCTACTCGAATTTTGTAATCCCTTTTATTGAGAGTGTGTACAAACTTCGGCTTACAGAAATGGAAATTATATTCTTGCAAAATTCTTCACAGTTCCTCTGCCTATTCTTTTATTTTCACTGAAATTCACAATATTAGTTTTTCTCTTTTCAACAACGCTAAAACAAACATTGAGTTTTTGTTTTTCATATTTTTATGTTGTTTTTGATCCACGGAGATAATTTCTTTGAATGTTTTCAGTATCCTTTCCACTGTATTATAGTGAAGATTCATAATGAAATGGAAAACCTAAATGAATTTTTGATGTGTATTCATTTTTTCTCTGATAACAGGTCCATGTGGACATTTTTTGCTCAATATATGACATCGAAGTCCCGCATTGATCAAAATTATGAATTAGGGATAAACTGTTTGCCAATCCCAACGGGTCTAGATCCTTCTGGTTGGTAACTGAAGCTGATTATCAAAACTTCACAAAATCCACAATTACACAACTAACATAGGCGAATGGTTCAATTGCAACATCAGCTATAGAAAAAGAAAATCTATTAGCTGACAATTTGCGTCGCACTCCACAGTCGATTTTTTGGGAGAGGCACCACCCACTCTTCCCACACTAGAATCCACAATGCCGGAAACTACTTTTTGACAACGTCTAATCAGGCGAATTTTGAAACATCTCAACATCAACAAGGCATCTGATCCTGATGAAATGCCCGTCAGTACTTAAAAAGTGCGCAAATGAACTCGCACCAGTATTTTGCAGACTTTTCAACCGGTCTTACAAGGAAGGGATTTTTCTTCTTGTTGCGAGATTGCTTGCGTTCAGCTTATTCCCAATAAGGGCAAGAAAGATTTTCCAAATAACTATATACCAGTCGCTTTCCTATCAGTGATATCAAAAATGATATAGAAAATCGTAAACCACCATATCTTCAAATATTTGGAAGGCTCCAACATCTTGAGCGATCATCAATAAGGTTTTTGAGAACAAAGATGAAAAGGCAACCTTCTATCATATGTCACCCATATTTGAAATGACGCAATCGAGAAACATGGAGAGTCAAGAGCTGTAGCGCTTGATATTTCTAAGGCCTTCGACCGTGTGTGGCATGACAGTTTGCTGGCCAAACTTTGATGCTATGGCTTGTCGTATCATTTTTATGTATGGCTCTTGTTTCCTGAAAGAGCGTTTCCTGCAAGTGGCCGTCGATGGATATCTGTCGAATACTTTCACCATCAACGCTGGTGTTCCTTAGGGATACATATTGTCTCCAGCCCTCTTTTCATTTTATATGAACGACTTATTGGGAAAAATGAAGAATCTAATATATTTCTGCTGACGACAGCATACTTCGCTGGTCATTCCATTTGGATTCCAGGACATCGGCTACAGATGCACAATCTCACCGCCAACAGAATATTGCATATTCGAATTAGGGGTGGAACTAACCAGGTTCGATTTGATGTTACGAAAACCCAGGCATCGGTTTTCTCCAAAAAAAATAATAATGTCAGGACAGACACATCCGCTTTCTGCTTCGATAAGTTTGTTAGGGGTTAAAATTGACACCAATAAGGTTTGGCACAATCATGTCGCTGGAATTGCAAAGGTTGCTTCTTAAAAGCTTGAAACACTGTTCCGAACCAGAAAACTGTACACACCTGAGCAATTTTTGATGCTTTATGAAGCCCAGATCAGACCTTCTTTGAAGTATTATTCTCATGTATGGAGCTCCGTCCCTAAACATACCCTGAAGCTGCTGAATTCCATCCAGAAAAAAACCATCTGCCTGATTGGAAGCGCAAACATCACTTGCAACCTTGATAGTCTGGAACATCGAAGAAAAGTTAGGAATTCGTCTCTCTTCTATAGATACTTTCACGGGAAGTGTTCAAGTGACTTGGCACATTTGACTCCACCAAGAGCGGTACATATCAGAATATGCGACAGACTGTGGTTGCTCATCCTTCCAAGGTTCAACTCAGTACACCTCGAACTCCACTGTTTTAGAACCCTTTTTTTTTTGAACTGCGTTTAAATAGAATAAACTTCCTCAGAACGTTTTTCCAAATGGAATCAATCTCCTGTGATTCGAATCCAATTGAGTCACTACTTTCGCACAGGTACCGCTTTTAGAGCGCCTTAAAGATTTTTCTGTAGTGCTTGTGTTTTATCCTTAAAAAAAAGAATTTCGAATCATTTTTCGTTCGAGATAGTAGATAGGTAGAGCGAAAGATTTAAAGAATTAGAAAAAAGTCAAAGTGACAGTGTAGACCTCATATTTTGAGAAAAGATAGGAAAATAGAAATTGTGCATTTCTTGTTGGCATTTTTCGGAATTTATAAAAAATCTGATTTTTCGAGCATTTCAGAATAAAATATGCCAGATTTGATAGGTTCCTGTTTTATGTGTGAAATAATAGTTCATATAGATAAAACAAAAAATTTCTAAAAATATTTCAGTCGGTCAAGTGAAATTTTTCATTAAAATATCGAAAAATATATATAAAACCTTGGGAAAGAAAGGTTTTGGCTTTATACAGAAAAACTTCAATAAATCGCATAACACACATGGGAGTGATCCTTTTGGGGATAAGTCTCCCTGGCCACCATATATATGCGCTTCAGAATAATTTTTTTTGTATGAGAATAATAATTGTGAATATTTCAGGATCAGAAGGACAATCGGATTTGAGAAAATTCTTCATGCGTCAACGGGAAAAGAATAGAGCAGCGATACAGGCACTTTCGGATTGGGAGAGAACTTACTACGGTAAAAGTGACTTTTTCCGTTCTCCGCCGAATTCCAAATTTTGTCCTCCGGAATGCAAAGGGCTATGAAGAAACACTTTATTAATTCCGTGAATCACTGGAGTCAGGAAGATACAAATTGTAACCCAGAGGAAGGAGAATGATGGCGAAGCAAGAAATGTGACCAAACAAACATGTTTCAATATTTTAATATCCAAAGCAAATTGTTTTTTGTATTCAAAATGTTTACCTGAATTATTTTTTTCAACCCAATAAATGTGAAATTAGGTTCTATTTTCTGAAAACTCTATTGAAAAGTATACTTTTGGGAATTATGGAATTTTGAAAGCAATACTTTGTTCGACAATCATCTACGCTTGAGACTTGTAGTTGTTTTCATAGTAAATGCGTGCCCAGTAATCCTATTGGATTTAGTGTCTCCTATTCGTCACGAAATTGTATGTTTTGCCATAGTTTCATATAAACCATACTTTTCATTTTCCAACATCTTATCTTTGATGTTACCTAAAATTTGTCAGTGAGTATGAAGTTTTGAAGGTTACATACGAAAGGGCAATGAACTTTGAATCAATATCATTTCGAAAATTCAGATAGATAACATTACACTTCCGATTCATTGATTTCAGGAAACCGTGTTTCAAGAAATTCGTTGAATTATTTTTTTTTTGCTTCAGTTCCACCTTTCACGTTTGATTATCGTCAAATGGTAAGGGCTAACGTGGTGGTAAATTCAACTCCCCACTTTCCAACCACCTAAACATGACGAACGGAATACACCCCTATCACTGTTCTTCCAAGATCCCCAAAATTAATGGTTGTGAAACAACCATCACCATCAACACTTGCCATAAGTTGAAGCTTTAAAATTGAAATTAGTCGAGCCAGGGTTTTCAAATCATCTCATTTAAACATGTTTTTCATTAATAGAGCCGATACAGTTGGGCAGACTCCAAAGTTG